CCTTCCGACAAGCTGCGCCATGACGTTGGCGAACGAGAAGGTGAGGTGGCACAGGTCCTCCCGGAACGGCCGGGGTCCCAAGAAGGCGCCGAGCTGGCGCTCTAACCTCCCGTAGTCAAAGTCGAGGAGCCGGTTGCTTCCGGGGGGCGGGTCTCCGGTGCGTGCAGCTGCAGCTCCTCAAGCGCCTCGGCGATTGCGTCGAGGCCGGCGGAGTGGAGAGGTCGGGCGACGACAGAAGCCATCGCCAACCCTCCCTCCCTCGCGACGATGAAGTCCAGGTCCCCGAAATGCACTGGCGCGCCCGGGACCCAGCCGAGGTTGTGACTAGCCATTCGAGGCCTAGTGTGGACGTCGAGACGCGCAAAAGGCCCCTACTTGGCGCTCCGACTGTCGGTGTTTCGAGTTGTCACCGACTAGTAAATTTCTAATATTGCGCGTCTGGCTCGGATGGTGTGCTAAGAGGACACGAGGTTTATACTGGTTTGGGCAGAATGTCCCTACGTCTAGTTCGTTGCTGCCGCTCGTGTTACTAGCACTAAAAATTCATAGTAGGGGTTACAAATAGTCGAGAGAGGGAAATGTCCCTAGTCTCTGGTGAGAGGAGCGAACGGGTGGCGAGAGCTCGGTCGCTTCCCGGCTGTGTGCTCGTGTGTTCTGATCGATTCGGGGTTCGATGGGTTCGAGTCCGAATCGATGCTATGTGTTGTGATATTTTGCGATCGTTGGTTCGATGCCCCTTGTGGGACGCCCTGCCTTTTCTTTTAGGCAAATTTTGCTATTGGACATGCCAAATGACGCGTCTTTCTTTGGCGGACCACACCGTTTTCCATCTTTTTTTGCCGTGAGACACTCTGGTTTTTGAAAATACCGCCATGGGCACCGCAACCCGATTGCACCCGGTTTTGGAGAGAAAACTTCGTTTTGGACATCGGGTGCCCTCAACCGAACTTAGCGCCGTCCCAACCTGATGGTCAGTTCGACCCAGTTGAACGACCGGCCCGCACCCGACTCCGTTGTTACTCCGGTCTGTTCCTCGTTTCCCCTCTTCACCGCAGAGGCGGCGGCGGCGGCATAAACTACGGCGGCGGGTCGTCGAAGGGGTGCGGCGTGGCGTGGGTTGGCGGCGTCGTCGTCGGCAGGAGAGCGGGCCTATAGAAGATGGCTACAGATCTGGCGCTTCTTCGTCGATCGGGTCGCGTGGAGCGAGAGAGGGCGTCATTGTGCCTTTCGCCCACACGGCGGCGGTCGTGGAGCGGACGTCGTCGAGAACCACAAAAAATCCAGACAAGCCGTTCTACACTTGCAGGAATCGTGACTGGGTGAGTTTTCTTGATTTTGTTCTTGCTACATTTGGGCGTTTTGAAATCGGATGTAGGGTTTATCCTATAGATTTGGCTTTCACTGTGAAATAGGGGAACGGTACCGCAACTTCTTCATGTGGAAGCCGAGAGCTTTGGAGATGGCATGGATGGTGCGGCGATGATGATGGCTGCGTTGAAGGCTCTGGAGAATTCTCTGTTGAACTTGAACAATGTTGTAGTTGCTCAAACCATTGTTGTGGCTAGAATAACTGGAGAGCAAATAGTTGTTAGGATGATGGTTGGGGCCAGTGTGTTTGTAGGTGTTGTTTGCTTTCTTGCTTTGTGCATGGTATTGTACAAGCAAGCATGAAGTATGCTTTGTAATGTTTGTAAAATATGAATGAAATGCAGTTTGAATGGAGTAACTTCAACTTGATTTGTTCCCTTTTTTAGTTATAAAGTTAAAATTGCAGCATCACTACCTTCAACTTAACAGCTGACTTAATTTTAGCATGACAAACACAGGCATACCAGATCATTAATTATGGAACATCATACCCGATGGCAATATCAAGTTCACACCAATAATAGCCAGGTTCACTACATTACCAGATTACAATACCAGGTTCACACCAACAATATCCAGGCTCAAAAGCACACAAATTACAATAGCAAGTTCGTAGAACCACACAAAAGCACACCAAAAGCACAGGTGGCTCAAAAGGTTGCTTCTGTCTTGATGTTCCCAGTGCAGGCATCAGGCCCCTAGGCTACCTCCAGCTTGCTGTTTGGCCTACCTCCTAGTGACTGGGGATCTTGGAACCCTGTAAGATGGCAGATGTGACCATGTTATCAACTACACTTGGCTTTAGATTAAGAACAGTGTTGGCAAGAAATGGATCACTTACTGCACTGATTGCTCAGGAGGTGTAGGCTCAGTTGGAGTTGTCTTCTTCTTGCTAGTTTGTTTTCCCTTGGTGGAGGCCTTTCTCTTCTTCTTGGCTGGCTCTTCTGTTGTTTCTATGATCTCAACAACCTTTGGTTTATAAGTCCTTCTCTTCTTCTTTGGAGGTGCAGGTGGTGGTGCATCAGGGTCTGCAACAGTTTCATTGCAGGTTTTCTGCAGGTGTCCAAATCCACCACACCTTTTACACCTTCTCCTGCCCATGCTGCTGGACCCACCTTCTTCAACTCCAACTATCCTTCTCTCCCTTGGCCTTCCTGCTGCTCTGTTGCATTTAGGAGGAAGGAGGTTGAAGCCAAGGTTCAACTTTTCCCATTCATCCTTGCTTGGCATTGGAGGCACTAGAGTTATAGTGGAGGAAGAGAAGAGAACGAGAGGAAGCGGTCCCTCAGGATCTCTGGGTCCTTCTCCTCTATGCGGGTCCCGCCGACCCTGTAGACGTCAACTAGGATAACTTCTCGTCGCGACCCTGTCCATCACTGGCGCCATGTGCAGGCGTCGTCTGTCGGTCATGACGCTCCACTCCGTCCTGGCGGACATCGTGGTGAACTGACGTGCTTGTCAGTGTTCGTACGGAGGTTAGGTAGAATAGCACCGGTACGCCCGACGCTGTTCTTGACGTGAACCCCTAGGTATGGCCCGTTGTGGGTCACGGGCTACATCGAGGCATGCCAGTATCTTTCCTGGTGTCAGAGCTTTGACTTAGACCCATTCGCCTGGACCTAGAGTGGTTGGCGGCGCTATGGGTCTCCGTCAGGCGAGACGGAGCCCCCAGCCTTGGGGTCAGGCAAGGCGGAGTTCCTCCCCAGAGGCCGGGCAAGGCAAAGCCCATAGCCCCAGAGGTCGGGCGAGGCGGAGCTCCCGACCTCGAGGTCAGACGAGGCGGAGTCCTCCCCCAGAGGCCGGGCAAGGCGGAACCAGCCCTTAGAGGTCGGGCAAGGTGGAGCCCACAACTTTAAAGGTCGGGCGAGGCAGAGCGCAGACCCCAGGGTCGGGTGAGGCGGAGCTCTCAGCCTTGGGATCGGACGAGGCGGAGTCCTCCCCCAGAGGCCGGGTGAGGCGGAATCACGGGCGAGGCGGAGCCCGCAGCCTCAGAGGTTGGGCGAGGCGAAGTGTAGACCCAAGGGTCGGGCGAGGCGGAGCTCCCGGCCTCGGAGTCAAACGAGGCGGAGTCCTCCCCCAGAGGCCGGGAGAGGCGGAACCAGCCCTCAGAGGTCGGGCGAGACAGAGCCCACAGCCTCAGAGGTCTGGCGAGGCGGAGCCCATAGCCTCAGAGGTCTGGCGAGGTGGAGCTTGCGCACCTGGGGTCGGTTGGAGCTGTAGTCGCGCTCTTGACTGCTCGGATGTATCAATGTTGATGATTATTAGCTCCTCCTCTTTAGGTGCCCTATTATTGGTCCCCAACAAAGTACATAACTACATTTTCAAATACATAGTATAGTTTGTTTTGGCTCAAACTTCTCTAACTTCGACTATGCTTTTAGAAAAAAATATATTAAGGCCCCTTTTAGAAGAAAGAAAAATCATATGAATTTTGAAGGATATCAATCCTAAAGAAAAATTTCATGTATGTCCCTTTGATAAATGATTAAACACTATGAATTCCCTTTGGATTTCCATGCGATGTGTAAAACCATAGGAATTTCGGAGGAAAACTAGCATAGGATTAAACCTCATGGTAACTTTTCTTTATGTCTATCTCTCTTGGAATTCATATATTTTTGTGTTGCATTCAAAGGCCACAATATAAACTTTTCATGTATTTTGAATTCCTATAGGATTATTGTAAGTTTCATTCAACTTTAATACTGCATTTTGTCTATTTCTATGTTTTGATAATCTTACATTCCAAAGGGAGTGTAACGTGCGTGCCCCTTCCTTTAACTCTGATGCCATCGATCCTAACAAGTGATCCTCAGAACAGTTCTAAGAGACTCGTTATATCTTTCGTAATTCATAGAAGTAGAGAGTTTGTATAGTCTGTTTAATTGGATCTCCAAATTAGACATCGTCTGGATTTCTCGCTAGCTGAAGACAGAGAACAACGATGGTTTTCTAGAGTGTGCACAAAATAAAAAAAAATTATCATGAGGATACAAAGATATACAAAGTGATTTTTACTCAAATAACTCTCTAAACGGTGCCTTGCAAAAGAAAACTTTCTAAATGATGATTTAAAGTGTAAATTTTAAAAAGACTCGAACATGCTCTCGTATCGCTGGTGCTAGCCACAGAAGCTCATCGCAGGTGGAACGTGGAAGCGCCACCTGATGATCCTGACAACCCCAACCAGAGGCAACATGCGCCCTGTTCGTTTGGGCTTATTTGACTTATAAGCCATGACAGAAAGTATTGTTGGTTGATTTGGTGTGAAAGAAAAATATTGTTCGTTGGCTGATAAGGCATGACTTATAAGCCGAATACGCACAAATCTGGCCGATTGCGCCGCTACTTTGGACCGTTCGCCTTGCTTTATTATTATAATATAGAAAGCAAAGTATGAGTTTGCTGGGTTACTAGCTTACAAGAGTTTCATGACAGGTGTACAAGGAACTCCACCCTCTCAAAAACCAAACACAAAAAGGACCCAAAGACCAAAGACACGGGGAAACATCCATGAAAAGGAAGTACAAGCAGACATTTCACCATATATAAGTCGACTAATATTGTTTTGTTGTGAGAGAAAAATATTGTATAATGACTGATAAACATGACCGATATGATAAGCGAACATGATGGAGAGTGACAGTCTCACTCCCTCCACTCTGCCCTGCCCTGATCTGCCCTGCTTCCCTTTCACCATTTCCTGCCCGATTCCGTCGCAGTCTGCAAGCAGCAAGCGTATATCCTCTCCTCTCTGCATTCTCTGTAGCGTATACATACATACATACATGCAAAATATGTATATATATTTATATTATATATCTATATCTATATGCTCTGCCTTTGAGTGGGATATGATCCAAGCAACACCTTCGTCGCCGCACCAGCCTCCAGCCCGCCTTGTACCCGTCGACACCTACGATGCTTGCAACGTCTCATCGTGGTGGCAGCCACCGACCTGCTGCTGCTGGCGTTCGGCGCCGCCGACCTGCTGGGCCTCACCTCCCACGTCTGGACGCTCGCGCTGTCCGCGGCGGGCGCCATCGTCTACTCGCTGGCCGTCGGCGTCGCCAGCGTGGTCTGCAACCTCGCCGTCGTGGTGGCAGCCACGGAGCCCGGGTGCGCGGGCCACGCCGCGGTGCTCAGGGCCTGCGTGGCAATCAGGGGCCGGGTGTCCACGGCGCTGGCGCTGGCGCTGCCCACTAACCTGGCCGAGGCGCTGTTCGGGCTCCGCGTCGTCGCGCAGCGACGGAGGGACGGCAGGCTCGCGCCGGGCGTCGCCGGCGAGGCCTTCTCGATCGCCTACATCCACGCCATCTGCGTCGTGCTGGAGATCATCGTCAGCTGCATGTTCTACAGGAGCTGCAAGAGGAGTGAAGCCGACGAGCTCAGAGAGCTCGAGCCAGAGGAGAAGGGAGACCTCCAGGCTTGATCACCTCTCAGCTTCAGCGTCAGTCTGGTGCATGCACAAGGGGGAAGAAATCCACACAAATAGTAGTCATAGTTTGTGTTTCGATGAGAAGCAACATGATCAGATCACAGGGTACAGAACTGATCCAGAAATATAGTGGTAAGCCGAGATAGATTTCTGCAAAATGTTTCTTTTTTATGCAAAGCAAATGGTACACATTGAGTTCAAATAAACGGTTATCTTGTACAGAAGGAATACTCTCTTCAACTGATGAAATAAGAAAGCAGGGAATTGGAGATTGTTTGGGGTTGTTACTTTTAGAAAAAAAAAGGAGAATTATAAACTTCGCAAATTTCATATATTCTGTTCTTTGGGTGACATTGGTAGCTTCAGAAACTTGTGGGCAATGTGAGTGCCACCAGCATCTCAAAGAAGCAATTTCAGTCCAGAGCATCTAAACCCAAGCAGCTCCTCAGATCTATTTATTCCATTTCTGATTTTGAACAAAAAAGCATGCTATCAGGTTGAGATGGCACTCATGTGTGAAGTTACATAATTATTGTTATTGGACAAAACGATAACTTTGACATGTAGAACCAAGAAACATGACTTTAGATAATTCTTGTTCAAATTGTAAGGTTCATAAGATGACAAGAGTATAACAGTGCAAGATCATAAGCTCATAATACAACAAGCCAACCACCAATCCAGTATCCGACACAAACATGCCTTCTTTGCCGAGTGTCAAATCCGGACACTGGCAAAACCTCATCATCTTTGCCGAGTGTCCAGATATTTGACACTCGACAAACATGCCTTTCTTTGTCGAGTGTCCAATCCCGGACACTCGGCAAACCTGTCATCTTTGTCGAGTGTCAAATACTGGACACTCGGTAAAGACTGACCCAGAACGTACAAATGTTAGCTTCTTTGCCGAGTGTCACAGCGCAGACACTCGGCAAACTTATTTTTTTTGCCGAGTGCCACTAACGGACACTCGGCAAACTCCTAACGGCCGACACACTAACTGACGGAAGACCACGACCACGTTTTTTTTTTGCGAGTGTCTCTGTTTTTGCAGATTGTTTTTTCTTAGTTTGCCGAGTATTTTTTTCAGCACTAGGCAAATAGTTTGTTTGCCGAGTGTATTTTTTACAGCACTCGGCAAAGAGCTTGATTGCCGAGTGTCCGATAGAATGCACTCGTCAAACATTTTTGTACTCGGTAAATCTGCTGTTTCTGGTAGTGGACGTAGCTCACAGGCCACAATGGTGAATGTCTAATGATAAGGACAACTTCTTGTGAGCTAAAAATAACCAATTATTCATATTCGAGGATATTTATATCTATATTTATATTTTGTTAAATTTAAAATGTGGATAAAAGTGCCGAAAGTGTGGATAATGTTTAGATTTATTGCAACCACAAGAAGTTTGACTGCCGTCCACCACCCTCACTAGCTAGTCGCCCAAAATTGATGTCCTTACAAGGGTGAGCCTAGGAATATTATAGCACAACTTAAACTCTATCCTATAACACAAGTCCAATTATAACCAATTCGTACATATATTCAACATAAAACGAATACATGATAAACACTCGTCATTAGTTGATCAGGAAATACCCGTTGTAAGTGAAGGATGATTATCTATCGATAAGCCCTTTGTTTTAGAAAAAGAAAACTTTTCAAGAGTAATATCAGTTGTCAAGTAACAGAACTCAGTAATCTCCAAGACTTGAAATTAGCAGCAGGTCTTCCAAAATCTTTAGACTTTGAGGACAAAGAAGCATGCCAATGCAGAGAAGGCACGTGGGCCAGCGAAGCTAACTGAGGTTAACTGAATATATGGGCCTAACATGCATGCTCCCTCGGCCCAACTTCGGTCCATCAATAAATCTAGAGAAAATATATAACCCGGATGTAAGTTTGAAGAGTATAAAGACTAAAGAGAAAAAGGAAACGATGAGTTGGATATACCTTCATGTGCTCGTATCTCAAGATGTCTTCTGAGTGTATGATTATGTGGGAAGGATAATAGTAGGTTATCGTGTTTTGGAGGGGTGAAAAGTGAAATGAGTTTAATTGGCCGGATAGAAAAGGGAGGACTAGCTCATTACCTTTGGGCCTTTTTTTTACGAATTCCTTTGGGGTTAAATTGGAAGGACACGTAGGCCCTCTCAAAAAAAAATTAAAATTATAGATTGCGAGGACGGCAGCGATATGATTTTGTATCTCTATTGGAGATTTGGAATGTACATATTATAATACTCCTAGAAAAAAAAAAGAAATACACTGTTCTTGGTTGCGCCATTTCAGACTTTTTCTGACCATGTTTCAGATCGAGATGCACAACGCAGGTGGTACAATGTACAAATGAACAAGAGGGGACAACTATATATTACTACTAACGCATCGATATGGGGACAAATAAAACAATTACACACCAGAAGCAACATCATGACAGAGTTGCTAAAAAAACTCGATCCGCAGGGGGACGACGTCCCACCGGGTATTTCACTAAGAAGAAGATCTTCTCACGTAGATCGAGAAAATCCCCGAACCCTGGCCCCACCCATATACAGCGGCACCGCATCCCCGTGAGACGGGACGGCCACAGACCTGTACTTTGGCGTGGGACATACGAGGAGATTTTTTTATCCTCAGGCCTAAAATTCGCCCCCGAGGGGGATCGAACTTAGGACCTGAAGGGTGCCTCAGGAAGCTCCGACCAACTGGTCTAGAAGCTTAGACGTTAGTTGGGCTGCATCTTTGAACCAAATAAGAAGACTCTTGAGGGGATGATCGGAAGAGACCGTGTATACTCATTTTCATCCTTTGACTATCGTCCGAGGCTCAATTTTATTCTTGAAATTCAAAACCAACATTCCAACCTAAAGTTTATTTTTGGGCCCAGTTTCATCCCAGGATTATCAAAGTGACCATTTTAGCCTTTAAATTTTACATTTTGAGTTTGCGTCAAAAGTTTTACATTTTGAGCTTACTTTTATTCATAAACTATCAAAGTGTGTTTCAGTATACTTTTCTTTTCGGCTCAACTTTCATCCCCACCCTACATGAAACACCGCACCATCATACCTAGTCAACTGGAGCACTGTCTGTGATCAGAGATAAAAAAAAATATTCAAATAAAAATATCATTAGTGGATGGCCTAAAAGCTCTTTAGCGACCATTAATAATTGTAATGCGTTATTTTAAATGTTACCTTGTAATGGTACCAGTAGCATTTAGTATCTTCGGAACATATTGAACAACAAAATATCTATTTTAAATTTTTTCCATAGTTATTTCTATTGTTCGGCTCAACTAATAACTGATTGCGAAAACATGATATGTTTTTGTCCATGAGCTAAAAAAAATATTTAGTTATTCAAATGAAAAAAATAACCAATTATTTATATTCGAGGATATTTTGTATCTATATTTGTATTTGTTTAATTTTAAAATGTGGATAAAAATATCAAAAGTGTGCTATCCGATGACACTAAGGACACTAGTACCTAATCCATCTCAAATCACGGATGGTCCTAGAGCTAACTAGGTGCGACATCATGGTGATCCACATAGGCATGAAGTTGTGCTAAAAAGAAAAATTTAAGTTTTAAAATACACTTTGATAGTTCATGGATGAAACTGAGTTCAAAATACAAACTTTACTTTACGGACTCAAACAGTCACTTCGATACTTAGAAGAAAATTAAGCTTAGAAGAAAAAATTGAGAACTAACATAACTATTTTAAAAGTTCAGAACGAAATTGAGTCCCAAACGATAGTTAAGAACGAAATGATTGTTCCGCTGTAGAAGCACCTAATATAAAAAGCCTCACTCGATCAAGGCCACTAAACACGATCGAGCACGCAACAAACAAGCACGAGTACTATTTGAGGAACGCAAGGCCACCGAGGGCAAACACCAGGACGAGCGGCAAGAGGGAGACCCACAGCACCGTCTTGCCGGTGGTGTGCCAGCTGCCGTCGTCCCCGTCCACGTCGTCGCGCGGCACCACCCAGAAACCCAACGACGCCTCCGCCAGACCAAGGATCGCTATGGCTCCGAGGACGCCGTAGTACAGGTACGCCGGCGTACTGCCGTGCAGGTGGAGGAAGATGCCTGCCGGGGCCTTGAAAACGATGAGCGCGAGCGCGGCGGCGCTCAGGACGACACCGAACGAAATCAGCGCCACCGGCAGCGTCGCCGGGTTGTGCCTGGCCTCTGCGATCAGCTCCAGCAATGCACCCGCCGGGAACGTCGCGTCATTATTTCGCTATTGTTGCGTGGATTTTTTTTTTTTGAGAGCGTGCGTGGCACGTATTTCATTAAGAAGGCTATTGTTGCGTGCATGATTAAGATCCGTGTGGTGGTGTGTGTGACCGAATTTTCAAAAAAAGGGCTAAAAACAAAAAATTTGGTGTGTGTGAGAGAGAGCTCAGGAGCGAGGGAGAGGTCGTTTACTTGCCGGAGCCCGGAGGTTACTCCGGTAGTGGTAGAGAGCTACTACGGCTTTTGGCGGTGCATTTCGTTCACCCTGTCTTGTCCACTCTCGTGGTATAGCCGAATATGTTCACCTTTTCAATATAGCCGAATCTTTTTCACAATAAAGTATGGCCGAACCTGCTGTCCTGCTCAACTTTTGCTTCCATGAAAATAATCATTCATTCTCTCGATTTTCTCCCGAACCGTGCATGTGCAATGCACCACCTTTATTCGATAAACCTCACTTCCATGCGGGTCCAGGGGCGGGAGCTCACTAGCTCAGTAGAGGCGAGAGTGGCTCCAGCCTGCGACCGAACTCCAAAGGGCTAGCTATTCCTGCGACCGATCTTGAGAAATGAGAACGACTCCACCGCCGAGTACAAAAGGCTCGGCAAGCATGTTGATAAAATAGACCACGTATAATTCATTGACTCCAACATGTACCAGTGATGCTACTCCTAGTGAGTGTATGACATGCTTTTAGTATCTAGTCTTACATCAAGCTGATAGCTGATAGCTGAGAGCTATAGCTAGCCCTTCAGACACGTTTGCACGGGGATTATTGCAATAGGAAAAGAAAAATAGATTGGGATAAAAGGAAGGGGATTATTACAGGTCGGGCGAAGTGGAGTCCGCATCCAGAGGTCTGGTGAGGCGGAGCTTGAGGAACGCAAAAGACTACTTGAGGAACGCAAGGCCGCCAAGAGCAAGCACCAGGACGAGAGGCAAGATGGAGACCCACAGCACCGTCTTGCCGGCGTCGTGCCAGCCGTCCACGTCGCACGGCACCACCCAGTAGCCGAAAGGCGCCACGGCCAGACCAAAGACCACTACGGCACCGAGGACGCTGTAGCACAGGTACGCCGGCGTGCTGCCGTGCAGGTGCAGGAAGATGCCTGCTGGGGCCTTGAAGATGATGAGCGCTAGCGCGGCGGCGCTGAGGACGCCGAACGAGATCAGCGCCACCGGCACCCTCACCGGATTGCGCCTGGCCTCGACGATCAGCTCCATCGGTATGCCCAGCTGGGACGCCATTTCTCTGCTGCGTGTGTGGATGGATTATATATGTTCCGTGTGGTGCGTGTGTGAGAGAGAGATCAGGAGCGAGCGAAGCCGGAGGTTTTGATTTGGTGCTAGTCTGGTTGTGGTAGAGATACGGCTAATGCCTGTGGTCTGTGGAGTATATATAGGCACAGTACGGGGAAGAAGAACATTTCTCCGTGTCCGATCCACACCAGAAACAGTACGGGGAAGAAGAACATTCGCTATTACTTTATTCGATCGATCGATTCTCCTTTCTCCTGGTACTTCTTAGCTATTACTTCATTCGATCGATCGATTCTCCTTTCTCCTGGTACTTCTTCGCTACTACACTTTATTCGATCGATTCTCCGTTACTTTATTCGATCAATTCTCCGTTCTCCTTTTACTGATGATGCGCACCAATGTTCCACTTCATTCGGGAAGTTTTAGGTTCATTTGGAGCCATGTTATTATATATAAAAAAGAAATTTGTTTCCTTGCACGCGCTTGTCAACAAATTCAATCCGGATTGTTTGTAACACACTCATGAGTAAGAATTTCTCGACGAGCAATATATGTATTTCTGCACATGTATGATCATCCTGTTTTTGCCTAATTTAAATACAACTATTGTGTCACAGCTGCAGAGGTTTTCTAACCCCGCCTAATTCTCACTCATGCAAAATATAGAATTACTAAGTATGAGAGAGTCTGAAGAAAACCCTCTTCTTGATATCAGAGAGTTGAGAGTATTTCCTTCTGTACAAGATATCAGCCAATTTGTCCTTTTCATTTCTGATTCTAAACAGAAATAGACCGTCAGATGTATGGAGTTACATCATTACAGTCCTAGTGGCACCTTCATGAAGACCATAACATCGATTATAAGAGAAGGAGCGAAAGAAATGAGAAAGCAACGCAATGCAAATAAGCAACAGGTGACCATTTTGACCGAGTTTTCGTTGATCTCGAGACACTTGGGACAGGCGTCATGCACAAACAGTTTGCTCTAGTCAAGAAGTCAAAGAACATGGCTATATACTCATCTTTAGCCTGGTTAGGAACCTGCCTGTGGTAGAAGATTATCTTATTATGAGTATATTATGATTCACATTTGTGAGTTTGTAATCAGCCAGAGGATGGATCTATAATATGGATGGTTGGATGCAAAATTCTTACAAAGACCAAAAATGGAATTTTCTCTTTTTTATAAAAATGAAATATTGTCCTTCGGAGATGGGAAATGAGTTGATAATGGTAGGAATACAAGGGGGAGAACTAGATCACTATGTTTTTTTTACCTAAATTAACCTCTTTGTGTAATTGAAATCACAGATCGCGAGGACGCCAATGATATTATTTTGTTTCTCTATTGGAATATAGTAAGCATATATATTAAAAGAAAGAAGAAATACATAGTTCTTAGTTACGTCAGTTGCTCAGTTTGGACTTTCAACCATGTTTCAGAGATGCACAACACAGGTGGTAAAACTGAACAAGATAGACCATGCTAGTAATGCATCATTATATATGGGGATAAACACAACAATTACGTGATACAAATGGGGTGTTTGGCACGGCTCCCTCTAGATGAGCCAGAGCTGTTGTGGAGGAGCCACCGCTTTTTACCGAAAAACAGCTCCTCCAGAAAAACGTTTGGCAGAGCTCCTTTGCAAGAGCCAGAGAGAAGCCCTGCCCAACAGACCAAAAGCAACATCAACATCAGGCGTTGTTGTGAAGAATCACCCTAGGCTGCCGCCCTAAGTTTCACTCAATCAAGCCCAAAACGGCCTTGTCTGGATGGCTCGGTGCCCCATCCAAAACATGAGGCCCATGGATGTGGCTGGGCTGCTAATTTAAACTAAATACACCTTAGCTTCACTAAATCAAGCCCATGAAACACAACAAACAAAAAATGCTACTGTTGCTTTTTCGGCAACGTATCAGGTGCAAACCAACCAGTCTATGCAAACTTGGAAACTACCCATCAGGATCACTAGATGCTGATCCAATGGATGGGGTGAGAGGTGGGATTTTTTTACGTTTAAGCCCCCTTACCCCATCAGGACCACTAGATGTTGATCCAATGGATGGAGTGAGAGGTGAGATTTTTTTACGCTTAAGCCCCCTTACCCCATCCATTGGATCAACGTCTAGTGATCCTGATTGGTAGTTTTACAAGTTTACACAGATTGGTTGGTTTACACATGATATGTTTCAAAAGGGACGCACGCCCGCCAAGAGCAAGCACCGGGACGAGAAGCAAGATGGAGACCCACAGCACCGTCTTGCCGGTGGCGTGCCAGCCGTGCACGTCGCGCGGCACCACCCAGTAGCCGAAAGACGCCACGGCCAGACCAAAGACCACTACGGCGCCGAGGACGCTGTAGTACAGGTACGCCGGTGTGCTGCCGTGCAGGTGCAGGAAGATGCCTGCCGGGGACTTGAAGATGATGAGTCCGAGCGCCGCCACGCTGAGAACGACACCGAGCGAGATCAGCGCCACCGGCACCCTGGCCGGGTTGCGCCTGGCCTCGACGATCAGCTCCATCGGTATGCCCAGCTGGGACGCCATTTCTCTGCTGCGTGTGTGGATGGTGGATTCCGTGTGGTGAGTGAGAGCTGAAGAGCGAGAGGTTTGCCAAAGGTTTTGGCGTGGTAGAGCTACAGCTATATAGCCTATGGAAAATATATAGACATCAGTGGGGAAAAACGAGAAAAGGAAGACCAAATGCAACCAGTGCAAAGAAACCAAAGGCAACCCAGACCAAATGCACCCCAACCCAATTCCAGCCCAGTAGAACAACTGAACGACGGTTCTAAATAAAACAATTCTATTGCACTAATAGCACGTATGTCCCAGACCAAATGCACCCCAACCCAAATCCAACCCAGTAGAACAACTGAATCACGGTTCTAATTAATAAACTAAGTAAAACAATGCTATTGCACTTTTTTTTTGCAAGCAATTCTCTATTGCACTAGTAGCACGTATGAGTTATGACAGCAGCGAAAAAGGGAATAAACGGTAGAAATATCCTCAAAATTTGAAACCACGCAACCAATTGCCCAAAGTAGTAAGTGGGTTTAATTATTAATAAGTCTATATCTCCTCTTCTGGTGATTGATTATTTGATTTATCTGCCGGTCACATTTCCTAGGCAATGGACGTTGATCCAACGATTCAGATTTGTCTCTCAGATGTTTTCTTTCATCCTCGATTTTTCCCCAAAGAAAGGACATTATTTTTTCTTGAGCAGAACATCGTTTGTTTTTTCTTAAGCGACGCATTAACAAATGTGACTAATATTGGATATATATGCAAAATATCAGTCATGCACGTAGTGTTGACCAAATACATAATTATTTGGGCAAGCGGCATTTCTATATTTCTTTTTCACAACCCCTGTCTATTTGGAAAAAAGAGATTGCAAACTTTTTTTTGTGGCGGCGTTCAAAGGTTAATTAGGTTGGTTATGGTTTAACCTGTCAATCCAGTTTTGAATCTTTATGCTCGAATTTTTAGCTAATTAATCTTTCAGTGGTATGCGATAAAGGTCATCGATAGCAAGTTGCATGTGTATAGTAACTTTGCCAATCTCAAGATTAATCTGATTAGTCCCTCTTAAAGACATTAATATGAATAGCACATTTGTAAGTGTGTTTACAAGAGTGAGTGTACATACTTGTTATACATCAACATTAATTGGTTTGTTTCACAGAAGAATTGTTTTGTGAAGTAAATTGCCTGGTATCAGTAGAAGAGTTGACGTATTAAGATGAACAAGTACAATAATACACTCCCTACGTTCCAAACTAAATAAATTCCTAGAATCACTCTAATCAAACTATCTTAAATTTGACCAACTTTATAAAAAACGATAACAATATTTATGACCGCAATAAGTATATCATGAAAATATTTTTCATCGTGTATCTAGCAATACTATTTTGGTGTCATAAATATTGGTTCTATTTTCTAATATAAAATTCGGTCAAACTAAGACAACTTTAGAGGCTGATTTAGTTTTAGACGGAGAGAGTACGTACGAACTCAGTTCCTTGGACCATAAATGGTAGATTGACAAATACAGGGCTGGTGTTAATCAGTTTGATGGCCATTTCTATTTAAGATGATTTTGAAAAGTATAATCGACGGACTCATGTTAATATACTAGGATCTGTTCACAATAAAAACTTTATACGACTATACGAGGTTTTTGTGGTAGACCTACAGACCTACAGTCTACGGAATATAAAGCGATGGCTAAGAATTAAGAATGGGGAGAATTGACGCAACTCAAATGCACCCCAAACAGAGGCAACCCAACCCAAGCCCAAGCCAATCCAGCTGGTGTTTGCCCTTAATAAGGGCCCACACCTGATCACGGGAATATGCTAGCACTATCCAACCCAAGACCAACCCAAACGGCAAATGTAGTCATTGACTACCGATACAGGGTGTATTTTAGAATAAAAAACATCAAGTTTCGAAGATTTTTGGCTAAATTAACTATATGCTTGCTTAGGACATAAAAGTTGTATCGATTCATTCACATTCTTTTTTAATTATTAATCACGGTACAACACACATGCCCATTGAATCGTTATATATGCACGCACACATACCGACATCGACAAATCTTGAAATTTCCGAAGTCACCATATGCGCCTTGCTGTACATTAAAATATTATATATCACCAAAATAACTTCCTTGATCATGAAACAAATCCAAAAAAACATGTATGCCCCTCGTTTAAGCATGCAGCAAAGCCTTCTCTCTTCAGAAACTAGGATCATACGACAACACCGAAAAAAAAGAATAAATTTAAAACATGCCATAAAAAATTGACACCACCCATCCAATTGGCTCCAAGTATTAAGTAGGTTTTGTTATTTGGTCAACCAAAATATCTATTGTAGGCCATTTTTCTATTCAGAAAAGAGACAGAGAAGAGATTGTCTATTTTCCATAGCAGTGCTCAATACATTATTAGGTCCCATGTGCTACCAGAGTTGAAATTCCTTACTTAACACGGATCCAATCTATCATAGACATTCATAGGGTTAAGAAAGATGCACATGTGTTTTTATGCGGCAAATTGTCCTATATCAGTAGAAGAGCTTGTGCATTATTAGGTTATTATAAAAAGAATGTCAGTACAATAGTACCAACCTACCAATCTATTCTAAATAGTATAAGACATTTTTGCCTGTCTAGATACATTATTGTTACTATATATCAAGACATATCTAAGTGTATACAAAAAACCTATGTATTTAGAAAGCTAAAACATTTTTATAATTTGGAATGGAGGGAGTAGTTTGCATGATTCATTTGTACTAGATTTCTCTCACATTAGACCCCTCTTTTTTATATGTTTAAAAATCAAGATGCCAAAGGAGCGGTGCATATTTTTTATGGCAGGAGCGGACCAAGATAGGGCGAGTGAGGGCACGGGCCGCCACTCAAAAATTGTTATAAGCAATTTTAGACTACTCCCTCTGTTCCAAATTATAAGTCATTTTGACTTTTTTGGTTCATCCATTTTGATATGTATCTAGACATATTATTATATATAGATGCATAGCAAAATGGATGTCCCAAAAAAGCCAAAGCGACTTATAATTTGGAATGGAGGGAGTATGAGTATTTTTCATTACTGGTGTTCCAATGACAAGATCCTCACACCGCAAGAAATGTAAGATGATAATCATTAGTGTGCCTCCACTCATTTTTTGTCCTAGATCGGCCCTGTCCTGCAAAATATACAAAGGTGGCGGGTGTTGTAAATCACGGTCAAAGGTAGTGGCCAAATCATTGAGGACGAAAGTAAGAGCATTCACACACTGTAGCTAGGGTTTCTACCCAGCCTCCCTTTGCCTATAAATAGGAGGTTCTTTTCACCTGATGTAACTAGAGAAAGCGAATACAGAGACCTGTCTCTTCCTCCTAACTCTCTTGTGCTTGTGTGCGAACCAAGAACGCGATTTCTAACACATTATCAGCACGAGTTCTACCGAGCTAAGGATCCTGTGGGAACCCTATGGCTAAAGCGGAAATCTTTCTGGTAGACAGTGACACCACCAATACGATACTGAGGGAAACCAAATATTTCCAAACATTGACAAAGAAAAATGGAAATATTATGACCATTGCCGGGAGCAATGCTCATATCGTGGGCATCGGAAGTGCCACACTGGTTCTCCCCATGGGTACTCAAATCTTTGTGAGGGATGCATTATTGTATCCTGGCTCAAAACACACCCTTTTAAGCTTCAAAGATATCCATTCGAATGGTTTCCGCGTAGAAACCGAGATTGAGCAAGGGACCGAATATCTGCTCATCACTAAATTCAACGGGTACCAAAAGTGAGTGGTGGAAAAGCTCCCTTCATCACCATCGGGTTTGTACTACACGTACATAAAACCCACTAAAGGATATGTTGCGATCAAAACCATATTCAAAAACACAGAATTGTTTCGAATATGGCATGACTGATTGGGTCATCCTGGGTTGAGTATGATGAGAAGGATCATCAACAATTCTATTGGCCATAATGTCAGAGGCTCCCCTAATCCTGAAGATTTTGTTTGCACCGCATGTGCGAAGGGGAAGCTAATCACTAGACCATCCCTCCTGAAGATTAGGAATGAGTCACCTATGTTCCTGCAAAGGATACAAGGTGACATTTGTGGACCTATTCAGTGTCTGTAGGGCCCTTTTAGATACTTTATGGTATTGATTGATGTATCTACCAGATGGAGCCATGTGGACCTGTTGTCCACTAGGAACCATGCTTTCTCCAAGCTTATTGCCCAAATAGTCAGGCCGAAAGCAAGTTTCCCTGATAACCGCATTCAGTCCATTTGAATGGATAATGCTAGTGAGTTCAGGTCAAAAGCTTTTGATGATTATTGCTTAGCCATGGGCATCAAGGTAGAGCATTCAGTACCGCATATCCACACACAAAATGGTCTAGCTGAATCGTTGATCAAAAGGATCAAGTGGATTGCCAGGCCGTTGTTGCAGAATTGTAAACTGCCAACCAGCTGTTGGGGCCATGCAGTGTTGCATGCTACAGCACTAGTCCAACTTAGGCCAACTGCATATCATGACACATCTCTCTTACAGCTGGTGCATGGGAAAGAACCAAGTATGTCCCATCTTCGTATATTTGGTTGAGCTGTGTACATGCCAATACCACTACCCTAGCGTACATCAATGGGACCCCACCGGAAGTTGGGAATATATGTTGGTTATGAGACTCCGTCCATAATCAAGTATTTGGAGCCTATGACTGGGGATCTTCATATGGCTCGGTGCGTTGATTGTGTCTTCGATGAAGACCATTTCCCAGCATTAGGGGGAGGTAGGCATCCAGAAGAATGATGGGAAATTAAATGGAATGCAACTGGGATGCAATCCTTAGACCCACGCACTAGTGAATCTAAACTGGAAGTTCAAAGGATTATACATTTGCAAAGCCTTGCAAATGAGTTGCCATATGCCTTCACTGATCATAAAAGAGTGACAAGGTCACATACACCTGCAGTAAATGTGTCAGAGAGA